TAATGTTTGTTAGAAAACAAAAGCTGGTACATTTAAACATATATGAATCTCCTTGCCATGTAATGTAGATTTTGTTCAAAACTAACTATCTAATGTGCGACTAGCTACTGCAGGCAGCAACAAGACATGTATTATAATGAATGAGATTGCTTCTGCAATTCTTAATTTCCCAATATTTCTCAAAGTTGCTTACAAAACAATAATGAAATTAAAGGAATTTAAGCTGGATTTTATCTTCTAATACATTTATTTTGGCATGGATTTTCATAGGCAAGACTGGCTCCATCCATTGTATTTGACTCTATGAAGAGTTTAACAAGTTAAGGAGTTTAAAAACACTTGTATTGAATCTGACTAAATGGCTTTAAGTGCTTTTGATTTCATTATTGTTTTGTAACTTTGAGAAATATTGGGAAATTAAGACTTGCAGAAGCAATCTCATTCATTATAATACATGTCTTGTTGCTGCCTGCAGTAGCTAGTCGCACATTAGATAGTTAGTTTTAAACAAAATCTACATTACATGGCAAGGAGATTCATATATGTTTAAATGTACCAGCTTTTGTTTTCTAACAAACATTAATACATTCTACTGGCTATTGCTAATAATTTCTTACGTTAAAATGGCTTTAAAATATTCAAATAGTATGTGTTTAATAGATATTCGATTTTACACTATAGGTATATCTGAAAAACACAGATATTGTAGGGAATGATCAGCTCTTGTATTTGAACTGTCATTCAAACTGTGCCATTCATTGCTCTTTATAATTATAGCATCAGTGTACCCAAGTCTAGCCTTTTCCAGTTTCATTCTTCTGGAGGTGTTTTTTTGTTTTTCTTTTGCAAACCTCCCAACCAGCTGCAGTGCAGCTCTTGTTGACCTTTTGAGCCTTATAGTGAACGGTATCTTGTTAGGGATGCTTTTCACTCCCGATAGTCTTTTCGCTTTTGTGTGAAATGGCTTCAGCGTGTGTATTAAATTTGGAAGGTGTTTTTCCTTGCCCCCCTTGTGCTGAAAAGTTACTCAAATTAGTCTGATTCTGTCAGCACTTAATTAGAACATAGTGCCAAGGAGAGAAGTCAAGTCAGTGCAACAGTAGTGTATTCGATCATGCTTACACAACTAGTGCTAACACTCACCGTTAGCCAAGGTATCAATAATAATACTCACTGTTAAAATCTATGACTTTATTCAACTTATTATTCCTTTATTTCACTAGACCTAGATGCCAGTTACTCTGGGTGGTTTGCAATTTTAAAAGAAAATTATTCCATATACAAAATGGGAAAAAATCAACATCTGTCAAGACCATATACTAAGTATACTTGATAATTGAATAAGATTTGATTCAGATCTTTACCAGTAATTAATTGTAGTTAACATAGTTGTTGCTTCTGTGTTAGGTAGAGATTTCCAGAGATAATATCTGCGTTGACTTGATTATCTTGGCTTGTGGTGTCTTGTTTTTGGATTGTGCCTATGGTCATAGTCAAGCTGAATCAACTGATAATAGTATAATAATATCTAATGTTGAAAGATAAAGGACATGTCATAAAACAAACTGTACTACATGGGTTGATAAAGTTCAACACAGAAGGAAGGGAGAATTTAAGTTTGGATTTTCACTATAATAATCCTAAAGATTCCAGTAATTAGATGTAAGCAGGTTGAATATATCTAATTTTTTTTAAATGAATTTAATGTGTTAATGCTGGCTGGAGAATTCTGGGAGTTGAAGTCCACAAGTCTTAAAGTTGCCAAGTTTGGGGGCCCCTGTGTTAATGTTTCAGCATTTCAAATACCATTGTGTGTGTTTATTGTCTTCAAGTCTGTTGTTTCTATAGGATTTCCCTGGGGAACTAAGCATCAATCTAAACAATCCCTTCATTCAGAGCCAGATTAAAGCTCTTTCAAATATGATAATGACCGCCTTAATTGAAGGAACAAAACGCAACACATAATTATTTATACACAGTTATACACAGGGATATTTTGTATAAGTTTGGGAATTTATAGTGGTATAAGTATTATTTTTACTGTAGCTGTAAATATATTACAGTGTATGTTGGCTTTATTGCTTCTGTGCAGTTTTAACTCTAGTTGGTTTTTACTTCTTAATTTTAACTGAGGCTGGATCACGCCTTGATCCTACGGTGGCGTGATATAAATGCAGGTATCCTTGACTTATGACCACAACTGAGACTGGAACTTCCATTGCTAAGTGATGCAATTGTTTAGTGGATCACACCCAATATAATTAGCAATAGTACTTATATACCACTTCACAGTGCTTTTACAGCCCCCTCTAAGTGGTTTACAGAGTCAGCCTATTGCCCCCAACAATCTGGGTCCTCATTTTACCCACCTCGGAAGGATGGAAGGCTGAGTCAATCTTGAGCCTGGGGAGATTCGAACTGCCAAATTGCAGGCAGCCGGCAGTCAGCAGAAGTAGCCGCCTGCAGTACTGTACTCTAACCACTGAGCCACTGCAAAAACAAAACAAAACCTTTTTTGTCATGATCATTCAGCAAATCATTCTGGTTCATTAAGTAAATCGAGAAGTGCTTAAGCCAGTCTGGCTTCCTCCTTTGGTTTTGCTCATTGGAAAATCTGTGGGAAGGTTGGAAATGATGATCACATGACACTAGTATCCTGCAACTGTCATAAATCCATGCTGGTTGCCAAGCACCTGAATTCTGATCACATGACCATGGGGGGCACTGCAATGGTCATAAGTGGCGGGACTTTATGTAAGTCACTTTTTTCAGCGCTGTTATAACTTTGAATAATGGTTAAGCAAATAGTTGTAAGTTGAGGACTATCTGTAGACATTTTGTTTCTTGTATTACACCCCTCAGTATAAATTCGAAAGGCTAAAATTGTCAGGAAATTTTAAACTGCGATATACTGAATAGTTAGACTATAGCAGTTAGTTGTAAAGTGGATATTACCTATAACTGTGAAAAACATTAATTAAATGAGAGATGAAACTGAATAATATTAATACATTGGATGAGATTTTGGCCATTGAATTAAAAGCTTCATCGAGGTGAAACTTGATCAGCATTTAAATGAAGACATATTTAAAATAATTTTATCATAAGAGAATTTTCTACAATATTGTTGCAGTAATTAAAATGTAGCCAAATAATAAAGAAGTTACTGAAGATAAAAACTGTCTGGAAGCTATTTTTTTAAAAAAAGTTTGACCTCATCATTACAGTTCATATTCTTTTATGATATTTTAAATATGCTTGTAATATTTAACTTCCTTACTTGTTTCTTGATTTTTAATGGAGCAACCAATGGGCACTCATCTACCTGCAGGGAAAAACACACACAAACAGCTGTTTGTTTGTTCTGTATTAGAACTTTGAAAGTGGTACTGTAAGTGATAAAGAAAATGTTACAAATCTACCGTATTTGACAAGTAATATCTTTTTAATTAGAGTAATGCATGGAAAAAAGTAAGGCATCTAATGCTTGCAGCAGAAACAGTTAA